CATGGAGCGTGCTTCTCCCTCTGCCTGTGTCTCTGCCTCTCTCTCTCTGTGTCTCTCATGAATAAATAAATAAAATCTTTTAAAAAAAGAGAGAAAATACTGCTTGGTAGCTCAGAAATGTTTCTTGAATGGATATCTGACTGAATGAAAAAATTCATCAGATTTTCACAGGGGTCTGTGACTCCAAAAAGTGTTAGAGCTTGATAATATAAAAGAAAAAGAAATCAAATAGATCCCTGAGAGCTTTTATCTGGGCCAGAGCTCCGAGAAGAATCTATCATTATGGACTGATGAAGGAGCCCCTTCCCCCATTCCTTCTAAAGGACTGGGTGATTCCCTTCTCAATTGGCTTTTTGATTCTCACATTTGCAGATTCTCACATTTGTTTGTAGTCAGGCTTTAATCAGAAGCCAATTTCTGCCTCCTACTGTATGACCTGTTAAATTAAAGCTGTCTAGGCCAGTTTTCTCCAGTAACATCCACCTTCAGGACCCTGTGAGTGGATTACCAAATCAGAACATTGGTATAATGCTGCCTGATTATAGTGCACAACCAGTTTTGTGTCCTCTTGTGCTCTTCCCCTCCAACTTTTTTTTTTTTTTTTTAAGATTTTATTTATTTGGGGGGCAGCCTGGGTGGCTCAGCGGTTTAGCGCCACCTTTGGCCCAGGGCATGGTCCTGGAGACCAGGGATAGAGTCCCACGTCAGGCTTCCTGCACGGAGCCTGCTTCTCCCTCTGCCTCTGCCTCTGCCTCTGTCTCTGCCTTTCTCTCTCTCTCTCTCTCTCTCTTTGTGTGTGTGTCTCATGAATAAATAAATAAAATCTTTAAAAAAAAAAGATTTTATTTATTTGGGATGCCTAGGTGGCTCAGCGGTTGAGCATCTGCCTTGGGCTCAGAGTATGATCTCAGGGTCTGGGATCGAGTCCCATATTGGGCTCCCTGCATGGAGCCTGCTTCTCTCTCTGCCTATATGTCTGTTTATGTCTCTCTCTGTGTGTGTCTCTCATGAATAAATAAAATATTTTTTTTAATTGTAGTTACTTATTTGAGACAGAGAGAGAGAATGAGCAAGCATGAGCATTGGGGAGGGGCAGAGGGAGAAGCAGACTCCCTGCTGAGCAGGGATGCCCTGTGCAGGGCTTGATCCCAGGACCCTGAGATCATGACCCAAGCCAAAGGCAGATGCTTAAACGACTGAGCCACCCAGGCACCCCCAACTCTTTTTTCCTATGTAAGACATTGGTTTACATCCATTTACCTTGATTTCTAGGCCTTGAGGCAGTTCCTTGTTTAACCAGTTTGTCTCTAGTGGTCCGTAGAATTTGTTCATTGGGCTACATAAGCAAATATGCAATAAGCAATTATGGTCATTTATAAGAACTGCTGTCCAAATATGCCTAATTACTTTGCAGTACAAGAATAATGAAGGGAAACTCCCATTTATTGACTTCCTATTGTGTACCAGCACTACACTATGCACTTTCATGTCTTATCTTACCCTACAAATTAGACTTGTCATTTAGTAGAAACATTGAGAAAATTTTTACTTACATGGATATTAATTTTGTGCCTGGACCATAGTGGGCACTAAAAAATAGCTGTCAACCAAATAAACTTTCTTTTACCTTTTAACCTAAATTTCACAAACATTCAGCATGGACAGATGTGCTCCCAACCTTAACATGACACTGAAAATTAGTACGTTCTCAGTGAAAGTGGCCTGTAAGAAGCCATTTTCAATATATTAAACAAATACTTACTGAGTAAATACTGTGCTCAAACTATGAAAAGACCTGGGGCTTGTGGAGCATACTCTTCCAGGTTCAAAGGTGCTGGCTGGGGACACAAGACTAAGACTAGGGAAAAGTGCGCTGGCTCAGACTGGACTGGGTGTGACTGTTAGGTGGGCAGAGACTTTTCCAGGCTTTCAGGAGAGATCTCTTGCCAGGACTAAGCAAGAAGGATTTGGTGGAAAAGGATTAGATTCAGTGTTGGGACACTTGGGCTCTAGTTCTCACTGAGGGTTAACTGGTTGGGAGACTTGTGCTTAGTCCCTTAACCTCTCCAGACATCAGTTTAGCATCTGGAAAATAAAGTGGGGTGGGGGTGGTTATTAGTGAACTTGTTCGGTCCTGAGTGCCTTCCAATTCTTAGGTTCGAAAATTTGCTGTCAACCACACTTTTCCTTTAAGAACAAAATACTTCCTACACTTGTAATTTCAAATAAGTCAATCAATGGCATTCATCAGCCACTATACTCTAAGAGACTGTGCCATAAATTTCTCCCCATATACATACCAGGATATTTTTTTTAAGGTTTTATTTATTTATTCATGAGAGACAGAGAGAGAGGCAGAGACACAGGCAGAGGGAGAAGCAGGCTCCATGCAGGAAGTCTGACGTGGGACTCCATCCTGGCTCTCCAGGATCAGGCCCAGGGCTGAAGGCGGCGCTAAGCCGCTGAGCCACCTGGGCTGCCCAACACCAGTTTTTTTAATCATTATTTTTAATTGTGACAAAATACACATAACATAAATATTTACCATCTTAACCATTTTTATGTGTACATTTTTAAGTGTAGAAATTCAGTAGTGTTAATGACATTCACCTTGTGCAACCATTACCATTATCCATCTCCAAAATTGTTTTCTTTTCTTTTTTTCTTTTTTTTTTTAAGATTTTATTTATTGGGATTCCTGGGTGGCTCAGTGGTTAAGCACGTCTGCCTTCAGCTTAGGGTGTGATCCTGAAATACCAGGATGAGTCCCACATGGGGCTCCCTGCAGGGAGCCTGCTTCTCCCTCTGCCTGTGTCTCTGCCCCTCTCTCGGTGTCTCTCATGAGAGGGAGCCCGATGCAGGACTCAATCCCAAGTCCTCAGGATCATGACCAGAGCCAAAGGCAGACATTTAACTGACTGAGCCACTAGGTGCCCCAAATGATGGTTTTTAAAAAAGTAACCTCTACCCAGTATGGGACTCAAACTCAAACCCAAGATCAAGAATTGCACATACCACACCAACTGGGCCAGCCAGGTGCCCCTCATAATTCTATTTAATTTTTTTTCTATTTAATTTTTTAAAGAGCTACCGTTCTGTTTTTCCTGGTGGTTGTGTCATTTTAAATACCGACCCACAGTGCAAAAGGGTTCTAATTTCTCTATGGCCTTGTTAACATTTATTTTTCTTTCTTTTTATAATAGTAGCCATCTAATAGCTGTGAGTTTTATCTAATTGTGTGGTTTTTTTTTTTTTTAAAGATTTTATTTATTTATTCATGAGAGACACAGAGAGAGAGGCAGAGACACAGACAGAGGGAGAAGCAGGCTCCTCATAGGGAGGCTGATGAGGGACTCCATCCCGGACCCTGAGATCACACCCTGAGCCCAAGGCAGAGGCTCAACCACTGAGCCACCCAGGCGTCCCCTAATTGTGGTTTTCATTTGCATTTCCCTTATGATTAGTAATGTTGAGTATCTCTTCGTATGCCTATTAGCCATTTGTATATCTTTGGAGAAATATCTTCAAGTCCTTTGCCTATTTTTTAACCAGGAATTTTGTTGTGTTACATTGTAAGAGTTCTTTATATATTCTATATATTATTTACTCTTTACAGAGCTTTGCTTTGCAAATATTTTCTCCCATTCCATGGATTGACTTTTCAGTCTGTTATGTCCTTTGATGCACAGGAATTTTAAATTGGTAAAATTTTAAATTTAAAATTTTTAAGTTGGTGTAGTCCAACTTACCTAATTTTTTTCTTTTGTTGTCTGTGCTTTGAGTGTCATACCCCAAGAAATCATTTCCAAATCCAATGTCCCAAAACTTTCCCGTTTTCTTCTGAGTTTTATCATTCAGCGCTTACATTTAGTTCTTTTGTGCATTTTGAATTAACTTTTGTATATGGTGTAACGTAAGGCTTTAACTTCATTCTTTCACATGAGAATATTGTTTTCCTAACACTGTTTGCTGAGATAACTAGCTTTTCCTCATTGAATGGTCCTGGCACCCTTGTTGATTATTTTACCGTATGTGAAAGGGTTTGGGGCTATACATTTTGCAGGAGGGGGTGGTACAGGAATGACGCGGTCCCTGTCTTAACGCAGCCTCAGTAGAGGTTTTGTTTCAAGAAGTATTTGTCCAGCGCGGTTGTGTTCAGTGCACACTGGGCCCATGTTTTCCCACACTTTTGCCTCGTAAGCTTCCCATACAACCAGTGAAGTAGGTGGGCTGAACCCGTTTAACAAACTCAGTTCCCCAAAAGAGCACTGTTATGGCTTGTGCAGAGGCAGGCACAAAGTTAGGATTTGAACCCTGGGTTCTTGGCTCCATGCGTCCTGCTATTTCAGGTAAGGTGGACTTCGATGTCCTCATCTCTAAAATATGGGCAAAAATGAAATGAGATGGTCTCTACTAAGCAGTCTGGCAGCCACAGGATCCTAGGCATTAAGGAGTCCACCAAAACCCGCGGCCGAGCGTGAGGTGTACACGTTAGGCCTGCAGAGGGGAGCGGAACCCAAACAGTCCGGAAGGCCAAAGTCCTAGGGCTGGAGTTCCGCCCCCGGGCGGACCCCAAATTCTTACCCGGAACCTGGGCGCGGCTGGGCTGTGCGACTGGCGCGGGAGGGGGACGAGCCAACAGAAAAATGCCTGCGACGCGATTCCCGTTGAAATGCCCTAGTGTCTCCGGAGTGAGGCTTTCCAGTTCTAACACCGTCCCTACTACAATCAGCTCCTCTGCCTCTCTGCCTTTGGCTCACCGATTGCGGAGTAGTTTCTTCTCCGTTGCCCCTTCCTTGGCTTCCTTCTTGGTACGTCCCCACCCAGTCTGGGAAGGGCCGGGCGGCTGCCCGCGTAGACACTGCGCATGCGAATCCCCACCGCGTGGGTGGGGAAAGGGTTGGGGGGGCACGGACCCCGCCCCTTCGCTGCTCCACGCGTGACGTCGCGGGGGGCGCCGGCCTCCGCCCGGCTCCGAGCGGTGAGAGGGAGCGGCAGGCGGACCCAACGCCGCAGAACCGGGAAGGGATGTTGCGGGTGTTGAGTTCCTGCAGGAGGGGCTTTGCGGGGGGGAGGGGAGGCCCAGGGGCACCACCAGCCGCTGAACTCAGGCCCTGCCCTCCCCCTTCGTGCTTTCTTCCCCTTTCCAGACGTGCGGGGCCGGGAGGCAGGGCAGGGGCTGGGCATTTGTGACACCTGCATTTCCCCGAAGCCCTCCTTCTCCCCCCACCCCATATGTTTATCCCGGTTTCCAGATGTTCCTTTTCATCAGGCTGTCGCTTCTCGCTTGGAAAAGGGAAACAGAAGATGGATTTCAGACCTTGGCCATGCCACTCTGTGAAAGTCCCCAGAACCTCAGTTTCCACCACAGTATTTTTTGCGTTGCTTCACCTGGTTTTAAAGATCAGTATGACACAGTGAAATAGAAAGGAAATGGACATTTGTTGAATTCCTGCATGGCTGAATACTATGCAAAACTGCTTTATTTGTCACATTTAGTCTTCATTATTTGGTGTTCTTTCACAGATCCTTAAGCTCACAAAGGTTAACTGATTTTTCTAACATAGCCAGTGAGTGGCAGAGGAGGATACAGATTGAACCGTCTTGCTCCAAAGTGGAGTTCTCATCAGACACTTCCTTTGTTTAGGCTATTGGATGGCACCGCTCTTCAGCCAGACCCTCGCCCCAGAACAGCTGCTTCCTGAATTTCTCCCCTTGACAGTTCTGGGTTCTTTTTTCCAGCACAGTGTGTTCTGCTTTGCTTCTGCCTTGATTACTTCAGAAATGAAATGCAGCAAACATTTATTAAGTGGTGCAGGGGGATGAACACTGGAAGTCAAGAGCCTTGGATTCTTGTCCTGGCTCTATCATTAAGTGGCTGTGTGGCCTTGGGGAAGTTCTTGGTCTTTTCAATGCTTTAGCTTCCCTTTGAATAAAATGGGTAAGTGCCTTCTGACTGGCAGGCTCTTGTCCATCCTGTCCTCCAGCAGGCTCTCCGTGGAGCCCCGGACCTCTCTCCTCCCCATGGGCAGCTGCCAGGCAGGGCACAACCTGCATCTCTGTCTGGCCCACCATCCGCCTTTGGTCTGTGCCACTTTGATCCTGCTGCTTCTTGGCCTTTCAGGCCTAGGCCTCGGCGGCTTCCTCCTTACTCACAGAACTGGCCTGCGCAGCCCTGACATTCCCCAGGTGAGTACTTTCCTCATCCTTTTCATACAAGCTTGCACATGCTGCTAATCTCTCACCTCTCTCCCACTTTTCTTTTGTTTTTTTTTTTTAATAAATTACTTTTTTATTGGTGTTCAATTTACCAACATACAGAATAACACCCAGTGCTCATCCCGTCAAGTGTCCCCCTCAGTGCCCATCACCCATTCACCCCCATCCCCCGCCCTCCTCCCCTTCCACCACCCCTAGTTCATTTCCCAGAGTTAGGAGTCTTTATGTTCTGTCTCCCTTTCTGATATTTCCCACACATTTCTTCTCCCTTCCCTTATATTCCCTTTCACTATTATTTATATTCCCCAAATGAATGAGAACATACACTGTTTGTCCCACTTTTCTTTTGCACACAGGACTGGGTCTCTTTCTTGAGATCTTTTGGCCAGCTGACCCTGTGCCCCGTGAATGGGACAGTCACAGGGAAGTGGCGTGGCCCTCACGTCGTGGGCTTACTGACCACTTTGAACTTTGGAGATGGTCCAGAAGGGAACAAGACACAGACATTCCAAGCCATGGTCCTGGGTAGTCAGATGGGATTGAAAGGTGAGATCAAGGGCGCCTAGGTGGCTCAGTGGTAGAACGGCTGCCTTTGGCTCATATCATGATCCTAGGGTCCTGGGATTAAGTTCCACATCAGGCTCCCCACAGGGACCCTGCTTCTCCCTTGGCCTATGTCTCTGCTTCTCTCTTTGTGTCTCTCATGAATAAATAAATAAAATATTTTAAAAAAAAGGTGAGATCGAGGAGGACTATGGGTTGAGGATCAGAACACTCAGGGGTGGGCCCTGTCTCTGACCTCCCCAACCTGGTGACCTTGGGAATATCCTTTGGCCTTCGTCACTTCTAGTAAGGACTAGATACTTTCAGTGAACATAGTGACACTCTGTGGGTTCCCTATGTTTTCTCTCTCCTCTTTCAGCACCTAATCTTGGAGGTGTGATAAGATGGGGTAGATTTGACTTAATGTTCTTTATCATCCCTCTTCATCCCTACTGCTTTCTCCTCTTAGAGGCACCTTCTTTTTCTCATGGATATTCAAGAAACATACCCTGTTCAATTAAGCAAGTGTTTTGAGTGCCTGCTCTCAGGCTCTCTTAGCACAGCTCTATGTGCTATGGAGGATACAGAAAAAATTAGATATCATCCATTCCCACAGAGCTTAGAGTCTCCTGGGAAAATGATGGGGGGAGGGGAGGGAGTCAGTGGGTGCCATTGACTCTTGTATGAGATTTGGCCTCAGGTTCCTTGTCTGAAATTGGGGAAATGAAAAGAGAGGAGAGAAAGGTGGAACTCCCCGGCTTCTGTGGTCCTTTCCGACACTACCATTCTAAGATTCTCTTGTGAGATTGCGTGTGTGTGTGGGGGGCCTCTTATGTCCAGGTGTACGTGTTGTGATAAAAAAAATGAGAATAAAGGAAGGTATCTGATATATACAGACTTGAGATAATTTTTCCTATTCTTTTTATTTTGTAAACATATATACATCAGCTTTACCATAAAATTCACACATTTAACATGTACAATTTCGTATAGTCACAGAAGTGTGCAACTATCACCACAATCAATTTTAGACCATTTTCATTCTCTCAAAATAAATCCTGTACCCATTAGCAGTTGCTTCCCTTTTCCTCTTAACCTTCCAGACCCAGCAACTACTTATCTCTCTTTTTCTGTAGCTTTACCCATATCATTTCATATAGTATGTGCTCTTTTGTGGCTGGCTTCTTTCAAGTATAGCATGTCCATGTCATAGCACATATCAATCAGTACTTTGTGTTTTTAGTGCTGAATAATATTCATTGTATGGATATTCCACATCTTATTTATTCATTCATCACGTTGATTGATACTTGGATTGTTTCTACTTTTTGACTATTACGAACAATGCTGCTGTCAACATTCACATACAAGATTTTGTGTGATCATACATTTTCATTTCTCCTGGGGGAAATGAAATACCTAAAAGTGGAATTGCTGGGTCATATTGTAACTCTATATTTACTCTTTTGAGGAACTGCCAGACTGTTTTCCAAAGTGACTGCACCATTTTGTGTTCTCCCCAGCACTATGTGAGTTCCAATTTCTCCACATTTGTTATTATCTGGCTTTTTTTATTCTAGCCATCCTAGTCATTGGGAAGTAGTATTTCACCATGGTTCTGATTGGCATAGTTCATGATACTGAGCATTTTTTTTCATGCACTTATAAGACCTTTGTCTATTTTTTTTAAGATTTTATTTATTTATGAGAGAGAGAGAGAGAGAGAGAGAGGCAGAGACATAGGCAGAGGGAGAAGCAGGCTCCATGCAGGGAGCCGGATGGGGAACTTGATCCTGGGATTCCAGGATCACGCCCAGAGCCGAAGGCAGACGCTTAACTGCTGAGCCACCCAGGCATCCCTCTTTGTCTATCTTAGAAGAAATATATATTCAGAGTTTTGCCTTTTAAAAAAATTGGATGATTTGTTTTTTAATTATTGAGTTATAAGAGTTCTTTATATTTTCCCCTATCTGATGTATGACATGCGGATTTTTTCTCCAATTCTCCGGGTTGTCCTTTCACTTTGTTGATGGTGTTCTTTGAAGCACAGAAGTTTTACTTTTGATGAAATCCAGTTTATTTTTTCTTCAGTTGCTTGTGCTTTTAGTGTCTTGATTAAGCAGGGGTTGCCTAATTCAGGCTCATGAGGATTTCCCCTATATTTTCTACTAAAATTTAATAGTTTTAACTCTTACATTTAGCTCCGTGATCCATTTTGAGTTAATTTTTGTGAATGGTGTGAGGATGGGGTCCAACTTCATTCTTTTGCAAGTGACTAACCAGTTGTCCCAGCATGTTTTTTTTTTTTTTTTAAGATTTTATTTATTTATTCATGAGAGACACAGAGAGAGAGAGGCAGAGACACAGGCAGAGGGAGAAGCAGGCTCCATGCAGGGAGCCCGACGTGGGACTTGATCCCAGTACTCCAGGATGATGCCCTGGGCCGAAGGCAGGCACCAAACTGCTGAGCCACCCAGGGATCCCCATGTCCCAGCATGTTTTATGGAAAGACTGTTCTTTAACTTTTAATAGTATCAGCGCCCTATTGAAAATCAGTTGACCATGGATGTGTATATAGGTTTATTTCTGGACTCTCAGTTCTAGTCCATTGACATATGTATCTATCCATGGTAGCACCACACTTGTAATCACTGTAGCTTTGTATTAAGTTTGAAATCAGAAAATATAAGTCCTCAAACTTTGTTCTTTTTAAAAACTGTTTAGATTATTCCAGACCCCTTTAATTGCCATATGAATTTTGGATTCAGCTTCTCAAGTCCTGCTTCTGTAAACAAGCCCTTTCCTTTTCATAACAGTTAGAAAGAGAATAATACCATCAAAGATTATTCTGGACAAAATAAAAAATAATCCACCTATGATTGTATCATCTAAGTAATAATTATTGAGCACCTATTGTGTACCAAGCATGGGGAATATAGAAATATCTAAGACACCTCAAGCTGCTTATAGTTTAGCAAGGATACAGATGTGAACCGAAGTAAATACCTTCCAATGTGTGAAGTAGCACACAAGGTACAGTGGGATTACTCAGGAGTCTGTCAAGCAGGGTTAGTGAAGATAGGCTTTTCCAAGGATTTAGTGCCTGAGATGAGGCTTGAGGAAGATTTCGGAGTGTACTCTTCCAGGCAGAAGGACAAGCATATGCAAAGGCGTGCGATGGAGACCATACTGGCATGTTTGAGACCTTCAAAGGGTTCAGTTTGACTGGTGCAGGGGAAGCGGTGTTGACTGAGTGCAAGAGATGCATTTGAGGAAGCAGACAGAATCCTCTGGAGGATCTTGTATGCCAGGCCCAGGTAGTTGAACTTTATCTGGTACATTGGGCAAGCTCAAAATTTTAGTCAGGAAAATAGGGTTTTGTTGTTGTTCTTTTGAAAAGATCACACTCTGTGGGCTGACTGCCTGGTGGAAGCGTGTCCAGAGCAAGAAGACCAGGTAGGAGGTGATTGCAATGGAAAGATAATGAGAAAACCCGAGCTAAGACAGTGCTGTGAAAGAAGGGGACTGATCCCAGAGAGACATTGGCAGTGGATTGACAGGGCTTGGTGACTGATTCAATCTGGGGAACGTAGAGAAAGGGGGAGTTTCTCTTAGAAAATTTTACAGTTACATTTCTTAGTTCTTATGATTTATATACTAATTTGTATTTCTTTTTTTTCACTTACTTTTTTTATTACTGCCTGGCTTGACCATTATTATTTTAATGGATGTAAGGTGATCCATTAAGTGGTTGGGCCGTCATTTGTAATGCTTTTCCTAGTGTTAAACATCTCTGTTGCTTCCTATTTTTTGGTATTATTTGTGGTCACAATAAACATCTTGGTATAGTTTTCATTTTTCTTTTGAATCCTTTCCTTAGGATGAGTTTCTATAAATGATATTACTGAGTCAAAGGGTATGGACTTTTTTTTAAATAGATAAATTCAGTTTGTTGTGGATTTGGACCACATGGAAGTATACAAAACACATGTAAAAATCCACCTCACCCCTGCAGTGTCTACAGTTTGATGGGCATCTTTTCAGTCAGGATCTGTATCCATTTAAAATTGCAACAGATACAGCCACATTGTCTTCTAAAAGGTATCATTCATTGAGAGTGCCCATTTCCCCACATGTTCAGCAACTCCTGTTATTATTAGTCTTTTTAATTTTTACCAACTTAATGAACAAAGGAATTACCTGATTGTTTTTCATTACTTTCTTCTGATTATTAGTAAGGTTGAATATGTTCTTATAGGTTTATTGGCCCCATTCATGCCTCCGTGAATTTCCCATTTAAATCCTTTGCTCATTTGTCTTTTAAGTTATTTGTCTTTGTCGTCCTGATTTTTAGGAGATCCTTATATGTTCCGGATTGTAAACCTTTTTGCTAATTAAATATAGGCATTTTGGGGTCCCTGGGTGGCTCAGTTTGTTAACCATCTGACCCTTGGTTTCAGCTCAAGTCAGGATCTCATGGGTTGTGAAATCAAGTCCCATGTTGGGCTCCACTCAGAGAGGAGTCTGCTTGAAGAATCTCTCCCACTGCCCCTTCTCCTCTCAAATAAATAAATCTTTACAAAACATATATAGGTATTTTCATCTATTCTGTTACTTTAAAAAATTTTTATTTAAGATTTCATTTATCCATTTGAGAGAAAGAGAGATCATGAGCAAGAGTGGGGGCAGGGGGAGGGAGAGCAGGCTCCCTACTGAGCAGGGAGCCCAATGAAGGGCTCCATCCCAGGACTCCAGGTTCATGATCTGAGCCAAAGGCAGACACTTAACTGACTGAGCCACTCAGGTGCCCCACTTTTTAAATTATCTTTCATCATAGAGAAGCCTTCAACTATTAAAAAGTTAAGTTTATTGTTATTGTCCTTTACTCAAGCTTTTAGGTCTTGTGTCTTTTCTAGGAAGGCCTTCCCCACTTTAAACTTAGAAAATATTCTTCTGTATTTTCTTTGGGTTTTGTTCTGTTTATTTTGTTTGTATAGATCTCTAACACATCTGGACTTTATTTTATAGTGTGAGATGAGTCTAACTTTTTTTTTTCCCAAATGGAAATTGTCCCAAGGCCATTGACTGAGTAGGCTTCCCATCCTTTCCCTGCTAATTTGAAATGGAGTGTGAACCTTTTCATGGATTTTGGCACCTAGCAGGGAACTGCTTTCTTAAAAAGGACAGACTAGTTTATACAGACTGACGTTGGCAATGTGTATCTGCACCCCATTTCACTGCAACTTTGTGAGTATTGGCATGATTGTTGTATTGATTGTAAGCAAACATAATTCACTTTTTGTTTATATTGGTACACAGTTATTGTCCTTTCTCAACGACACAATGATGGTATAGAGAGTACTTTATTGAACAGACTCAATGCCAACCCGGCTGTTACTGAAGGAAGCCTTAGGAATGAATGGAAGTCTGAAAATGGATGGCTTCCACCCCAACCTCCATCTTCTTCCACCACCTCTCCTATGTCTCTTATAGGATCTTCTGCAGGAGAGCTGGTCCTCATTACTGCCAAGGTGACCACAGAAAGGACCCCAGGAACCTGCATGTATTTTAGTGCTGCTCCAGGAATCCTGCCCTCCAGCCAGCCACCCATATCCTGCTCAGAGGAGGGAGCAGGAAATGCCACCTTGAGTCATAGGATGGGTGAGGAGTGTGTCAGGGTCTGGAGCCACGAAGGCCTTGTGCTCACCAAGTTGCTCACCTCGGTAAGAGCCTGGGTTGTTGGGGTTTCATGACTGCCATGCTGAATGCTCTGTCCCGAAGGCTTCTGGGGGCAGTTTTACCTAGTAGAAAAGGCACAGGCTCTATAATTCTGCCTCAGCTTGCTGTATGACCTTGAGCAAGCATCAGAGCCTCTCTGAGCCTCAGCTTCCTCATCTGTAAAATGGAAAACATAATACTACCTCATGATGCCAACAAATAAAGATGAATGAGAATGAATGTCAGGTGCCCGGTACAATGCCTGCTACGTAATAGAGATCGGATGAGTGACAGTTATTACTATTAATGATTGTCTTTAAACAGAATAAAATACGATTTCCACTTTAAAGGAATGCAGAAGCGTAATAAGAGGCAGAATGGGCTAATCGCTATCATAGAGATGTGAGCAAAGTGTTATTCAAACACAGAGTAAGGAGCAATTAACCCTAACTTGAACATTTATGGAGAGCGCTTCACAGAGAAGGTAGCATTTATGAAAGGGAATTGTGTACAGTAGTTTATAATGTACAAAGTGCTTTCAGGTTCATTATCTCATTTGATCTTAAAATAGCCTTTTGAGGTAGCTGTTATTATCCCATTTTACAGATGAGGAAAGAGGCTTAGAAAGAGGGAGTGAATTGCCCAAGGCCACACAACTGGTTAAGTGGCAGACCAAGGATTGCAACCTATGCCTTCTGACTGCCTATGCCTTCCCAGGCTTTATCTGCCCTTTCAGGGTGACCCTTGAAGAGGACGAAGATGTGGGCAGAGAATGCGATAGAGGGCGTTTGGAAGAAGAAATACATTCCAGGCAAAAGGACCAGCATGAGCACACAGGCCTAGAAGTTGAAAAGTGTTCAGTCTTTGAGGGCACTCCATGATGAGGGCCTTAGGAATGGCTGAAGGGAAGAGACAGAAGAGATGCAGGGGCCTGATTGTGAGGCTAAAACACTACGACTTGATGCTGTAGGCCATAGGGGAGTGGGGAGAGCCTGCCTGAGTGCAGGAGACAGACCAGTTAGGAGGCTGCTGTGTACTTGCCTACACGTTACCAAAGAGCCTGGCAAGGAGCATCACTTAGGAGCTTAGAATCAGAGAAAATACTGGTGTCCAGACCTGGCCCTGCTTGAGCATAGGATAGTAGGGAACTTTCCTATCTCATGGAGACTTTATGGGGATTCACTTCAGTGGTTGGACAAGAAAGCAGTTCGTATACCATCAAGACAGTTACCTTATATAGAAATTAGATTTTCCCTTTGGTTCCCTGGCTGTAGAGAGCCCTCTCCCCCAATAGGGGCTTCTCTCTATGGCCCTAGGATAAGGTGTCTCCTTAGGAGAAGATTCTCTACCGTCCCTCTCTCTCATTTATTCCTCTTTACCCCCCTTTGGTCATCCTTAGGAGGAGTTGGCTTTGTGTGGCTCCAGACTGCTTGTTTTGGGCTCCTTCCTGCTTTTCTTCTGTGGCCTTCTCTGCTGTTTCACTGCTGTGTGCTTCCACCCACGCCGGGAGTCCCACTGGTCTAGAACCCGGCTCTGAGGGCACTGGCCTAGTTCCCATCTTGTTCTCAGGTAAGGTTCTTTGCTCCAGTCCTGTGGGAGTAGGAGATGGAGTGGGGGTGGCAAGTATACCTGTGAGAAGAGTCATTCCTAAACACTATGGTTTGGTTTTACTTATTTTTGAACTTTATGTAGATGGAATATACATATTCTTTTGTGACTGACTTCTTTTGGTTAGCATTCTGATTTTAAGATTCATCCATACCTGTAGTTCACATCCAAGCTTTTTGGCAACAGTGGTGAGTTAAGAGAGTTCAGATTTGATGATGCATCCTGAATATGACTTATGCTTACCTTGCTTTTGCCCTGAAATTCTGATACCCAGTTTTATGATGCAAATTTTGTAAAACTCATCCTGGACAGTGCAAAAGGATTGATGATGCCCATTTGCTAGGCACATAGTATGTGCCCAAGCATTTTATTTTTTATTTTTTAAAGATTTATATATCTATTCATGAGAGACAGACACACAGAGAGGCAGAGACACAGGCAGAGGGAGAAGCAGGCTCCTCACAGGGAGCCCGATGTGGGACTCGATTCTGGATCCCGGGATGATGCCCTGAGCTGAAGACAGACTCTCAACCACTGAGCCACCCACGTGTCCCAGTGCCCAAGAATTTTACATGCTTTATCTTTTCCATCAGCCTTCATTACATTTAGAAAAAAGTGATTTTGCTAACAGGATCTTTGGAGGAACACAAAAAGGTAGCAGTGGGCAGGGAACATATTGGCTAACTAGTTCATTTGTCTGGTCGTTAAGGGAAAAAAAATTTCTCTAAAAAAGTCTCACTCTGTCAGGTGGACATCATATAATTTGAGAGTTATCTGTTATCACCCAATTCTTAAACTGTTCTCAGCTTCAACAACTGGTTGCTGGGCCCTCGGAGATAGCCATGGGAGAAATGGAGATACCCCAAGCCCAGGGAAGGGCTCTGACCAGAGGAACTGGCCACTCAAGATCAACGTTGCTTATTTTCTTCAGGGCTAGGCTCCACCAACCTGGATAGGAGATGGTGGAATCCTCTTTGCCTTTCTTAGATCTGAGTAGACTGGGAAAGGAAAGCTCTCTGGCTCCTGGTGGATCCTGGGGTCCTAAAGCCACTCACCCAGTCCCAATAAGCACTTGGACCGATCTGTAGTTGCCATTTCCTCTGCTCCTTCCTCACTGTTTTCAGCCATCCCAGAGCTTCCCCCAAGGGTTCTCTCATCTGCCCTGGTTTTTCATCTTTTTCTCCAGGTGTGAATCTTTTTCTCCAGCCTTTGTTCTGAGTTGGAAGAGATGTTACAAAACATGAAGAGCTGGAATGTGGGGGGAATAAAAGTCTTTTTTTGCCCAATGTTGCCCAGGGTGTTTATTGGGGATTGGGTTGAAGTGGGAATTTCAGGGTAAACAGGTTTGGGTGACTTTTGCTTGTTGACACTTAAGTTTGGGATACAGGCTGGCTAGGGCGTGGATTGCTGCAGCTATGTCCTCTATTGTGACTTACCTTTGGAAAACACCTGATTTTGATCACAGAACTGCCACTTTATGTCTTGTTTTCTTCTATGAAATAAAATCGATAGTTTCAACTAGTTGAGAGAATCAGGTGGGTATGGTCATGGGAATGCTTTGACATAAATGCTGTGTGACCTTGGTTAGGTCATGCAATTGTGAGAGGCCTGCTTCCTGAAGGGGTTTGACGGATTGAGTTTTCCCAGCAAAGATTCTTCGAACTTGGGAGGCCACGTCCTGGCAGTATGGTTACTAACCAGAGGAGTCCGTTTTCCCGCCTTTTCCACGCCCAGCAAGCCTCCTTCCCTGGCTCCTCCCAACCGCTACCTATACGCAGGCGCAGATCACGGCTGCTTCTTTCCTTCCACTGGCGCCCCCTCAAAGCTTCCCCTAGCAACAAGCTCGGGCTCAGCGCTAAGGAGGGGCGAACGCATGCGCCGCAGTCCTCTCCACCGCCAGTTGTCGGACTGCGTGCTGAGCTCCTCCCCCTCCAAGCCTAGCCCTTATGTCCACCTCCTCCCATCCAGGGTCCGCGTGGCGGAGCGCGCGCGCACTCTGGCTCGGTGGCTGCCCATCTCCCTGCCCCGGCAGTGAGGATTGGGGGGCGGGGCTACTTCGTTGGGGGTTCCGCCCCCTTTGGCCCGGCGTCCTTACCGCGCCTGCGCGCTCCCGCCCGGTCTCCATCTTGGAATTGGGAGGAAGAGGGAGAGGGAGACCGGGACGAGATCGGGGCTGTGGTGCGGAGAGAGACTGAGACTGAGAAGCGGACAGGGAGAGAAGGCGCGGGGACCGCCCTTAGCTACAATCTTTCAGCTGCCCTCAGGAGAGAGAAGGGAAAAGGGAGGAGGCCGGGGCGGGAGTGAGGGCTGTCACCCTCGGACCCCGGCGTGAGAGGGGCCGTGCGGCCGGACGTCCTCGGGGTGGGCCCCCTGTCGGGGGCCGAGGACCTGGGGCTCAGGCCCTTCGGTCGCGAATTTCCGGGCTTGACCCCTCGCTTCTCAAATATCCGGGTATCAGCCCCTCAGACTCCACATATCCAGGACCCGGGTCCCAACCTCTCTAAACCTGGGGCTCTATTTCATAGGATTTCAAATATTTGGGGTTCAGGCCCGTGTGTGCACCAGTATCCGGGGTTCAGGCCCCCGCGTTCCGATACCAAATTCAGCCTCCCTTCGTCCAAATATCTGGGGTTCAGGCCCCACAACCAGAAATCCGGGATTCAGCAATTGTCGCCCTCGAGGAGGAGGAGGACTGGACCGCGAGGTCAGATCAGGTTGTCACCCCCTCCCCTCCAGGGGAGGCTTCCCGGGCCCGCCCCTCAGGAAGGGCGAAAGCCGAGGAAGAGGTGGCAAGGGGAAAGGTCTCCTTGCCCCTCTCCCTGCTTGGCAGAGCCGCTGGAGGACCCCAGGAGGAGGCGGAAGCGCTGGGGCACCATAGTGACCCCTACCAGGTGAGACACGGGGTGCAGGGGCGCGGGTCCCTGTGTCTAGCATTAAGGAGAAAGGGTGCTCGTTTTTGAGGAACCGAGCCTGGGCAGGCCCTCTCCTCAGGATGAAGCCCAGTGGGCTAGTGGTCAGCCTTTGGCCTTCTGCAGCCACCTTGTTCCTCTTCATTATATCTGTCTGATGGGGGACCTCAGGTGACAGGGTCTTTGATGTCATGGGGGTCACGCCCTAGAGTGCTTGAGCTAATCAGATGGGTTTGCACTCTTCTGGTCTTCTCCCAGGTTCACTTTGCCCCTCACAGCTACCTGTTCTCCATGACTATACACCTTTCTCTGGATTGCTTTGGGGTGTTGATTCCTTTGCCTTTGATCTCCGTGGTGGGTCCACTTAGTGTTTTTTAGGAATGGTCTGAGTGATTTCTTGTCCTTTCAAGGAAGTAAGTGTGTGTGTGTATTTGTGTTCGGGAATGCCTGGCAATATTTTCCTCAGCTATATCGTTACCTTCCAACATCTTGCTGATGGTGTAATCTCATACATTTGTCAAGTGATCTGTCATTTACAAAGTGCTTTACATTTGTTCTCTCATGTGACCCCCCCCCATTCATCCTGTGGGGGCCTCTTTTATTGCTGTCTTCCCATTTTACAGTTGAGAATATTGAGGCTCAGAGAGGTTCCCCAAGGTCACACAATGACAGAATCAGGAACCCAGGTTCTTGATCAAGTTTTGCCCCCCTGCTCCATGCTTGTCTCTTGACCTCTCTTCTTGGCCAGGGATCCAGAGGAGAATGAGTTGGGGTAAGATTTAAGAATGAGGGGGAGAAGAGCTTTCTTTTTAGGAGGGCTATACTCAGAAGCTTTTCCTGATGGGAGGCTCTGGTTCCTGTCTTCTGTCTCATGGATTTTTCTCTCTACTGTGACCTTCATCTTTACCCTGATCCCCTTCTTTGGCCTGGGTTCCTGAGAGGGCTCTTTTGACAAAATGATAGCCGTGGTGTCTCTTCACAGTTAAAGCCAAGCTGCTGGGGTAGGATGATCCCCAAAGTATTAAATCCTTTTGTGGTGACCCTGGAGGCAGGGAAGGATAAAAAACCGTATGCTAAGTGTCTGCATAGTGCTCCTAGGTATGAGATCTCATTTAAAAAATCTCAAAACAGCCCTATGCTATAATCCATTTTACCAAAGAGAAGACCAAGTATAAGGAACTTACTCAAAACCCTGTTGTTGTATGTTGCTGATGAGGTGTACTGGTAGTGTAGCTTAGGGACAGACAGACTTGGGTTTCCTCATCTGAAGAATGGCGATATTCATTTTGGTGAGTGGTGATATTGTCCATTTTAGAAGGCCGCTGTGATTTAGCACAGACCTTGATAATTGCAAATGTTCATTATTTGAAGAAGAGGCCTCTTGTGATGTTTTGTTGGCATCTCTTACATGTGGCATGGGGTCCTGGGTTGGCATTCTGGGCTGGGTGCAGGTAAAGAGGTCAAGAAGATTGCTTTAACAAGTTGTAAGCACCTGCCTTTGTGTGTGGGTGTGTGATGGGGTGAGGGGTGCTTGGCAGGGTGGCTGGCATGAGAATGGAGAGAGGGGCCTGTTTTTGAGCAGCTTGGGAGCTGCTGAGGGCTTGGCTGAGGGCAATCAATCAATCTCCTAGGCTATTCTGAGCCCTCTGCACCCTGGGGGCCCACCGGAGAGTCAGGCTTACTTCTTGCCTTCCAACTTCCAGTTGAGCTAAGGAGACAAAATTAACAACACAACAGGAAACAATGCACGACAGAATATAATTACATGCTAAATTGTTAGGTGCTTTAAAAGAACTAGAACTCTGCCCTGGGAGTCCAACTCTGCTGAAGGCTCTTTTGTGCCTAAATTCCAACAAGTGCTTAGCCAGGAGCCTGGCCTGGAATTCCCTGGGGGTAGGGGCGGGGTCCCTGACTCCCTTGTACTGCAGGAGCTTTCTCTGGGTTTTGGTCTGGGTGCTCTAGGAGCTCTCCCCAAAGGCTGGAATGGTCAAGGGAGGCTTCTTGGAGGAGGGTGATGAGCTTGAGGTGAGCTGCTAAGATAGTAATAAGCACACTGACCTGACTTGAGAGAAGATCCTATTCTCTGACCACAGAGAAATCCTGCTTTCTTTCTATGCCTCAGTCACCTCATCTGTGAAATGGTGATCACTATCTAGCCCTACTCACAGGGCTGTTCTAAAAGCATAGCAGTAGAGGACCAGGGCAAGTCACTTAACTTTTCTGAGCCTACTTCTTTATCTGCAAGATGGGGTAATAGTAATACTTCATAAGGTTGCGGTAAGGATTGAATGAGAGAGATCCATGTAAGGTGCTTACTGTACATGCTTAATAAATGTTATTCGTACACTGCAAATATTCTGTACTTGTGCGTGATGGCGTATGCAATTGGACTGGGCAAATAAGGCATCCTAGATCACAGAGAGGCCTGAAAGACAGTTTCTATCCCTGTCCATCCCGGTCTAGGTCTCCTCCCTGTCCCAGGCCCTTTTTGAGAGCAAGTCTTCTGGCCCTTCTGGGCCAGTACCCACTTCTAACAATGGCCGGATTTCCACTGCCTCCGGCCTGGCTGTTTCCTGCTCTCTTCCAGGGTGTGAGAGGTTGAGGGAGGAGGGGGCCTCGACGCCAAGGGGAACAGGAAGGTGCCTGGAAATATTTGGGGTATGGGACTTGTGGGACAGGACACTTGGGAATCTGGGGTTCTGGCTGAGAGGCGGGATCTTTTATTCTTGGGAGAAGTGAGGGTTGTAGCGAAATGGATCTTACTGAGGGCTGGGGGGTGGTGAGGATGCTTAGCTCTCAGTCTTCCTAGCAGTTTTAGGGACTCCAGGGACCCGGCCCCCGTGCTCTGGTTGCCAGGGCAACTTCATTTTTTTGGAGCTTTGATGTTCTGATCTCCCCCCTGCCCTTCCTTGGCGGTGCCTCCCCCTCATCAGGGAACTAGGGGAGGAGAATGCAGAAACTTGAGAGGCCCCTTCCTCTCTCTCTGAGAGTCCCATCTTTGCTCTAAGGGTCCCCCTTTTCATTCTGCAGGTCAGACCTCACTCTCAGGGCCCCCAGGGGCCATCATGCCAGCTGGGGGCCGGGCCGGGAGCCTGAAGGACCCTGATGTGGCTGAGCTCTTCTTCAAGGATGACCCTGAAAAGCTCTTCTCTGATCTCCGGGAAATTGGCCATGGCAGTTTTGGAGCCGTATACTTTGTGAGTTGGGGCTTAGGAAAATGGGGTAGGGATGGGCACTGCATTCTTCACGCTGTGGACCTCCAAACAGC